TGTTAAAAGTAAATCAGATGATCAAAGCATTTGTATTATGCGTTAGATATCCACTAAGTATATCACACTGCTATGAAGATAATTAATGGTAAAAGTTAAAAAGGTTTAAAAAACAGGCTAGATTATATGTGGTTCAAAGATTGTAAACTATACCGTACAGTAGAAAACTTACAACGCATTTATTTTAGGTGCTTTACGGTAAGTAGTGTATATGCGTTGCTTCTTAGTCCATACGCTGGGTTGTGAATCATAGTTGGGCAGGAGGTTAGAAATGAGAGTCCATATATCGCTTTGTAGAGAAATATTAAATTGTTCCTTAGCCTACGGTGCCGTAAAGGTTCTAAAGAAAGGTGCTTACATCTATCTGTGTAATCGGCATTCAAGTTACTTCCTAGAAGTTGGCGTGTGAAGCGTCACTGAACGTCTTCTACTCTTATCTTGTCTGTGGTATTTATATTAGAGAAGAAAATAGAGCAGTATTCCAGGGAATGTCGTACACATATTTTGTAGAGAGCAAGCTTAGCCTCTGTTTTGAAGAAATTTATCATTATGAAACCAATTTGCCGTCTTTATTTAGAAATAGTAGATGAGGCATGTTCTTCAAAGTTCGGACTTCTTGTGTAATTAATTCCTAGATCGTGTACTGATTTGAGTGTCTGGACTCTACTTTTATTTAAATGGAGTTGCAGTTTATAGGGATGCTTTCCAAAGTGCATGAAATCGCACTTCTTGAGTTTAAATGGTAATTGTCATTTTTTACTCCAGATAGTTAACCTATTGAGACCATTTTGGATCAGGGGTACACTTTCGCTTAGGGTCTCAGGCTTATAGCTGTATACTATTTTGAGAACATCAGCATATAAGTATGGTTTCCGAAATTTTATTTCATTACATATATCGTTTATATACATAAAAAACAAGAGTGGATCTACTACGCTTCCCTGAATGACTCCAGTAGTTATTGGTTTACGTGATAAGAGACAGTTATTGTACATTAACATCTGTTTGCGTTCTGTTAAGAACGAAGCAAACCATGAGTACAGTGGGTCGTTTATTCCAAAGGACTTTAGTTTAATGACAAGCCTTTTGTGTGGGACCTTATCAAAGGCTTTCTTAAAGTCTAAGAATAGGACTGATACAAGGAGCCTTAACTACTTTTTCCATCACTCCAGATACCACTGAAATTATGTTTATGGGCCGGTAATTGTCAACATTTGCTTCAGGTCCTGTTTTCATTTTCGGAATGATATGTGTAGTTTTCCAGGCAGTAGGGTAACACGCTGTAGAGAGTGATATCGCAAATAGTTTTAGCATGCTGGCTGTAATACCATCTGGTCCATCAGTGTAGGAGTGTTTCAATGTACTAATTGCCTTAGAGATATTTTGTACATTGAGGTCTACATTAGTAATTTCACACGGAGGTACTGGTATTGATCCTGAATCGTTAAGTGGTTTTTCGTTAGTGAGAAACAAAAGTGTTCACTAAATAGTTCTGTCACGTGTTTAGGATCTTCGAATACTTGTTTGTCTTTAATGAATATGCTCCGCCATATATTGCTGATTATGATAGGACGGGTCAGTGTACACATTGATGTGACTTTCACGTAAGATCTTATAGATTAGGTAGTCAAATCATGACAAGTCTGCAATTTTAGGATCAGGTTCGTTATTAGAGCAGTATTAAGAAAGAAGTAGACCATAATTCTAATTATTTACGTTTATAAACGAAAGCAAATGTCAACCTTCAGAAATGATACGACCGTGGGATTTATGTGATTTAATAACCGAAGCAACAAGCTGATGTTTCAAGGTTTCGAAGGTGTTACAAACACACGTTAAGATAAACATTCATTTCTGTGGATGTGGCGATCGGTTTGAAAAGAGTCATTTTTGTCACCATTAAGAACTACCACTTCTGTTCTAGAATCAACGAGATAGCGAACTTTCGTCATCACATCAGTGATGCATATTAGACAGTTATTTACACCGGCTGCAGTTGTCGTTGACGCGTGCCATAGAAGTTTTTTTAAAGTTTTGTCATGATGGAAGATTTGAAGTTTGGGAGACTACATTGTTTCATTTTATTTCTAGAAGACCGGACATTATTTGGAGCTAGCTCTATCATGGTCTAGAGATAAATTCATTTTCATGACAGGCTTGTTTGGGTAGTTTTAGAGTACCATGATTTTGATGATTGTTAAAGTAACGAAGGAGGGTGTTATGAAGATGTGTGATGTTATTTTCCATCATTTGAAGAACAAACCTTGGTGTCGGTGTTCTGGTGATCTCCACAGGTGAGTAGGTAGATGCAGTCAGTTCACCGACGAAATTGTTTCGAAATGAGTTGAGAACCGCTTGCACCTGTTGGGGAGGCTTAGATAAGGACAGTTACCTAAGAAGGCTCTCATAGAAAGTTTGCATATGTAGCAGCATTTCCATATCTGAAGCGTGGTGTAATTCCACGCTGCTGAAAAGCTGTTCTAACCCTCGTCGATCGATCACGTTTCTCCGTTTGAGCTTAATCGTTTCCAAGGTGCCATAGAGTTCAAAAACATCACTAGTAAACACACTAAGCTTAACGTACCTCTTAAAATTACTCAACAATGCCATTGCTACTGCAAGGAATTACAAACGTGGGTCTATCGCGTTGTGCACGTAGCAGTCAAATTCTGCTCAGTGGAACCAGGTTTCAGACAGCAAAGGCTTTGAGATGAAAGCGCGGCGGTGTGAGCACAGAGCTTTTTAACAGTTTGGGTGTCTGTATCGTTATTATGAGGGTAAAATATATAAATGAGTGAAGAAATCCGAGGATATAATAATAATGTCACGATATGTAAAATAAAAAACGATACACAATGTTATAACAAATAACAAACCCACAGTTCGTCGTTCGATGTACCAAATTACATCAAGTCATCATTAAAAGCGTTAAGAACATGTTTGCCACTAACACTTTTATAATCAAAGGATACTATACCAGCCGAATCGGAAGCCAATATGTATAGATTCAAAGGTGTATTTAGAAGGTTGTTGATATGTTAAAAAGCATTTGATATAAGCTGACTAGTAGTTGCAAGGGATGAATACCACGGCGTACAGGCTTGTAAATCGGTGCGGATACGTCACTGAGTGCCTTTAGGTAGGGCGCGTCTAGTGAGACTAATGGGATCCACATCAATGTCAAAGGCTTGAAGAATTATTTATTTTAGAGACTTATTTATGACTACAACTAACTGTAAGCAAGACTTCCCTAACCCATAAATTATCAATCTCGTAAATGAACTTCTCTAATTCAAGAGAAAACGAATTAAGAAATATCATTGCATGAGTAGATACGCCATGGCTGCTTCACAGTCCCCTCTGATTACTAAGAGTTAGGAAGTTAAAAAAACTGGGTATTACACACGTAAACTGCTAAAAACCATTTTAAGAACTGGACGAATCACCGAAACATTAGTTATTTAATTAACAACAAACCTTATAATTCTCCCTCTTTTAGGTTTTTCTTCCGCTGAGAAACACTTGACATCAGCGTCCCAGCAATCTGGATCTTCTAGGAAAACATTAATCATAATTTCAAAATTTCTTCAGAATATTCGACGACCATTGTGAACAAGTAGCTGAATAAGCTTTACTCGATCTTTGTATAGATCTCAAACTTTCAAATTACACAGAGACATTAATGTAAAAGAAGTTGCTCGGTTGGTATTCCGAATCACCAGACATTGAACATCCAATGAGAGCGTTCCGTTTCAATAATTTTTAAGTTGTCGCCCTATCTAGATCATTAAGACATTTTCCGGGATAATACACGTGTATTACGCGTTTCCATTTTAAACTCACTGTTTTCGTGGTTTTGGTTTACAATCAAATGTCTGTTTTTTAAACTTTGCCTTTAGAAAGGCAATTAATTTATAAATTGACGAAGGATGGTTTTACTTCATAAAAGCATAGGTCCAGACAGCCAGTAACTATGGACTTGGAGGTTAACGATTTGATCAATTTTCGTCTATTATTTAACATCATGAATACAGCGACTTTCCAGTTGATATTTCTCTTAACAAGTAAACCGTGTCCGCAGACTAGTAAATCCTCTTATGAAATAACGCTTCATGAAAATGTCCAGAAGCTATCATCATAAAGTAAATAAGACAAATAAATTTGTATATGGATTAAAACAAAAGCTCAACTGTAGAACTAACCCACAATGGCAGCGATTTTATTATTACGATACTGGTTTATTAGGAAGTGTATAGTTTTTTTGCAATCATTATACTGACAGTCTCCAAACTCACGTTGGTTTTTTGATTTAATCGAGTCATGTAATAGGGCTAAGAGGATTCATTCAGTCAGTCAAATGAAACTTAGAACGTGGTACGCATGTACATCGGTTCAAGTTGTCATACTCTATCAGCACAACGATATGAAATTGTCAAAGAAAATTCCAAAGTATTAAATTTGAAATGTAGGTCATGTGTTGATCGTCTCACTTATAGCTGCACATTACATCTATTTCACCAAGGGGCCACGGTGCGTTTAGCCGACAAATTATTACTGGTTGTTGTACGAATAGCTTACACGGCTTCTAATGGCACTGATTGACCTTGATAATTCGGAAAAGGTTAAAAACATTGTCAGGGAAAGCTTAATTATTTACTAGCTGATTTATCATTTTCTTAGTAATGATGTACATGATAGAAGTTCATAAAATGTTCGGAAACCTTTCAGGGCATTTTGTGATCATATTTGAAATAATTTGGTTTTCAGATGAACAACATGGAAGGAAACTAATATTGATCTCGGGGTCTAGATATGCACTTATTATAGTACTATTCATTTGATCTTTGATAGTAATAAGCCACTCTTATAAATTGTGCAGTCATTTCTGGTCAATCGATTTTTTTTTTGACATAGAGAATGTCTTCCGAATATTTAATTTTTTTCTGTTTTAGATGTTTGTCATTAGTTATTCTTGGTCTTAATCAGAACATAAAGATGCTATGAATTCCACTTTACACTCTGTGGACTCCAGTGTTATTCAAACCAGTTTATTTGGTCAGTATAACAGGGCTGGGGATCCAACTAGCCTATGGTGTGATGAATCTTTGGAAAACCCGGACTCTATGTTGGATCAATGCAAATGCTACACAAGTACTCCAAGTTCTTTTTCCACTACTTCAGAAAGCACATCTTATTCGCGTGATCTTTATGTTACATCTAGACTACGCAGTCGGTCTGAAGAGAAAAACTGTAAATCGGAGCATCCCTTTTATCTGTCTCATTCCGTAATCAATTATTTAAAATTGGACAAATTATCTAACAAAATGTGTCCTGGTTGTGTTCCTTGTTCTTCTTCTTATGATAAACTACGATTAAGTACGTACTCCGAAGAAAAAGGCGATTTGAATGTCACCCAAAAGGACTTCCAACGGGTAAGCATTAGATAGAACATAAATTGTTGATGAAATTTTTCACACTTATCGTGCCTCACTTATATGCATCTGACCAGATGTCTTAGTTTTGGCGTCCAGGAAATGTAATGTTCTCTAGACCTTTCTAAGATCTAGACTTCAGGTAAAATATCAAACAGAAAGACGAGCCTTTCAGGAGTATTTTATAACCGGTCTTGGAATATAATGAAAGCAGTAATAAGTATTAAATAAAGTCATCAACTGGTTTCAGCAGAATCGCTTCTTACATCTGGTTCCGTTTATAGCTTTAAACAACACAAAAACAATAAGATTGATGAGATTAAATTAATTCATTTTCCTTCAGGATTTCTCATGAGATACAAACAGCATAAAATTACAATAAGTAATGTTATTTAGTACGAATGTTTTGCATAAGTTGGTTGGTAAATGAGGTATTTTAAACAAAACATCTTACTAAGAGAAAGGAAATGCACAGTTTAGTGATAAAAAATTACGATTACTGCGTCTTTATATACTGAGAAAAAGCTAGTCATGAAAATTATAAGATGGGTTATGGTTACTAGTTATTATAATACAAAGTTTTGGTTCATCTTGGGAATGGATCGGGCTTGAAAATTGTAATTTGCATCGTTCTAATGTTCCATAGTCTTTGCTTTTTACTTTTTAAGGGTAACAAATTCAAGCGCAAAGGAAACCAGTCGTTTAAGTCGAGTTCGTCAGTCTGGTATAGCGATGATTCTGACTCAGTCCCTCCAGCGATGGCTCTCATAAATGTAAATCGACTTCATACCCAAACCTTGCATCCAGCTACATTAAATGAGAACAGAATAATTGCGACAAACAACATTTTATATGATTTCAACACTGAATTTGATGTCTCTGGATCAAAAATATCAAAAAAAATTTTGAACGCTTCGAGAAAATCTCTTCCAGCAATCCATCTTGATCGTGATTTAGAAGTAAGCGGCAGTAGCGGTACCAGTAGTCTTTCTTATACGGCTGTGATTGGTAACGAGACGGAATATATTCAGCCGGATAAACGCTCAGAGCCATTTTCTGATGAATCTAACAAGCACTACTTAACCTCTCTACATTTTGGGCAAACCGGTGCATCCGCGAGAGATTCTGGCTTAAGTTCACATTCAAGCAATTCTGTAAATTATTCCCCTAACTATCTTATGCCCCCTCATAAAGGATTGGTTCCTGAGTGTAAAACTAGTCTCTCTTCTACACCCCCACCAGTTCCACGTCACGCCCCTCAATCACAAGCTATGATTGCACTTACACAAAGGAACGGGAATGGTAAGATATCTAATTTCGTTTAATAAAAAATGAGGTGGGTTTTACTTACTTTTTAATTTTTCGCAATGTCATAATAAGGAAAGATGGATAGCGGCTAGCAGTGAAATCTAGGACGTGCGTTACGTCCTATTTGGGACTCGTCAGCCGGATGTACGTGCATCTTAGAGTTGATGTTCACTCTGGAACTCAAACCCAGTACCGTTCACTACAAACGCCATCGCGTTATCGACTTAGCTACTGAGTCCCAATAGCTACTTGCTAACCGCCATCCATCTTTGCTTATAAAGCTTGTGAATTAAGGAAATATCGAGGTAATAAGCACAGTATGTACATATGCCAACAAGAGACTGATCAATTGAAGTCCTAAATATCAATGGGAAGATTTAAGTAAACGATACCAAGTGAATTTCACAATATTTTTGTTTGAAACGAACTCATTTTAGTATATTCCGAGCATTCGCATCATATATGAAATGGTTCTGAAGAGTTTTCGTCAACCGCTGGGATATTTCAATAAATCAAACTCTAATTAGCTGTTAAAAAACTATTAAACCTTCACAACTTGATTGATTGGGGGTCAAATAACCAGAAAAATGCCAGTAAATGGAGTTAGAAATAAATGTTTGAATCATTTTGACGACTACTATATCATACCCATATTCATTTTTATTCCATTAAATGCTGCATAACAATAATATAGGTCTAATATCCATTAGCGATATAGTTCAACAGTTCCTCAGGGAAGTTAAGGCGGTAGAAAAACTCTATCCTAATCCCGTTGACTCATTTTAATAAAGGCGTGAATCACTTAAGTAACCTCAGAACTTCTGTATTACCATTTCCAATATTCTCCAAAGTAGTTTTATCAAGACCTCGAGATATTTAGTTTGTTTTCCTGTATAGCATTTATGGTTTTAATTTGAATAAAGTACGCCGAAGAACTCTTACTTTTTATTATTTTAATTTAATCAAAAATCTTATAACTGCCAACCTGAGCTGTACTTTATGTTGGATGTGTTGATAAGAGGCACAATGATGTATTGGCTGATAGCAGGTTAAAAATTCCTATGATTTAGAAATTGTGTAAATACTTTTCCGCTTATGAAATGAAACCCTTGCATAGTTATATGTTACGGAGCGGTGGCCTAGTGCTTACGGTAGTCGTCATTCAGCCACTGAAATCCAGGCTCCAATCTGGTTCCACCTACTTGGGTTCGGGCAAACGAGTTATTTCATTAGCCCTTACACTAAGAGTGCGGGTAATCCCCAAGTACGTAATGAGTGAATTAATTTATCCACAACTTATTTCATTGTTTGTTACCAATAGTCAGATTTTTGGCATCTTATTTTTATACTGGCTTAATACGTTTTCTTTGTTATAGGGTTTCAATACGTATTTACTGTTAGCTACAACTCACTAATGAATAGAGATGAAACATTTCCATAGTCCTCTAAATGTCATATGTTCTGTTGTACACTTAACCAATAATTTAAACATAACTGATCAAAGGTAGAAGAAGTAACAAACGCGTAACTTCAGAACTGATTGATAACAACTTTAATGTTCAACTAACATCACACTTAATATTTCTAAATCACTAATTACATACGAATATTCGTCAAGTTTAGAACGAATAGTTTGACAGAAATTGGGCACCGAGTATAGAGAAGTCATTATATATGAAAGTTATATTTGAAATAATCTCAGCGATTGAAATTTAAATAATTCTAACGTCTCATCCAGCTAACCCTAAAGTCCAGACAAGTTAGCTGGACGAAACGTTGGAATTATTTAAATTTCAATCTCTGAGATTATTTCAAATATAATTTTCATACATAATGACTAATTACATTATCCCATTTTGCTCTCTGTTTAAAAACATCAAATTTTGAATACATGTTTTTTTTGTATTAATTTTTTAATGAATAAATTTGTTACATTCAAGATATTTTAAATGCAACCAATTTAGTACGTTGTGAAACTGACCTTACAAAGTGTACATGCTCCAAAGGTGCAAGCGGTAAAATGGTAGTGGGAAGAATTCGTGGAACAACTATCCGATTGCATTCACATACGGGCGAATCTAAAACTCTCTTAAAGGTAAGTACATAAACGTGATACACATTGTCTTTAACTGAGCATCAATCTACTTCATTACGGCTCTACATTATCCCCTTATCACTTTACTGTAATTCTCTTACGGTACGTTTGATGAAACTTACCCTATGGTAATCAATAGATTGTTCTTAATAATAGGAGCAACTATAAAGTGTTGGTTTGCAAACCAACTATGCTCAGTTTTTTGTAAACATTCGATAAAATTTAGCTAAAGATAGTCACAATCTTTGCATTAAAAGAGTTGTTTTCCTCATACATTGAGTATATATTCAGTGACCTCTGTTTGATGATCATAGTGATAGTTAGCTTAGTGTTTTCATACTTTACTCCCAGGATTTTTGTAACTTAATCTAACGAGAAATTAGTCAATATCATTCTTGCTAAATATGCGTAGGCTTTAATTTTAGGAATTGGTTACAGATTATTTGACATGCTTTTGATATTGAAATCTACGCTTAATAATATTTCTGATTGGAAAGAGAGTTCTAATTTTCTTAATTTGCCATCATTGGTTTAGTATATTTGCATTCGATTTCAGACTTGATTATGATTTCATTTAGTCATTCAATCAGTCACATAAGCATACAGTATACACATGCATCAGTTCCTATTGCCGTGAATATATCAGTTGAAATTAACACGATAAATGCCAGAGTAGTATAAATGGTATTAGTATTTATAAAATATTCAAAACGAACATGATAAAAATTTATTGATAATAGTCACGGTAATTAATATACACTTTAAAAATAATCGCAAAATTCGCACCTATTCCCAGGCATGATTAAAACAATAAGAAAAAGAATGTTATACCGAAAAACAAGGATACGTTATTTGAAAAAGAGTGATTCATATTTCACTTCAACTAAGCATTTGTCTCAAACATTTTAATAATGTAAAACAGAAGGAATACATGATCATAGGTGACAAGAGCTCATTCAGTAATAATTATCAGTTTTTTAATTTCAAAAATATCTTTAGTAAGCATTGTGAGATTAACATAAGCGTGCTAGATAAATGGCATAATTACAATGTCATTTGCGGTTAAGAACTAGTATTTTCTTGATAGGAGAGCACACAAATCCTGTTTACATATGAATGATGTGTCAAAGAGAGATCTGTGTTCTGTTTTTCATGACACTCATAATAGTCTACAGCTAATAAGGGAAAACAAAAACACAGAGCACGGGAAAACAACAAGAACTACTGTCAAGGTTTTCCTTAAATGTATGTTTAATTATTTCGCGGAGTGTTCGTTTCGATAGATCTACATGTACTCATAATATAAGCTTTTAATAAGGTCGATGTATAATATGTAACTAAACAAGGAAGTTTACCAAGTATACTCAATGAAAACGGTAATTACACACTTAAAAATATTCCCATTCAACAGCTAATTTTAAATAATGCTCTAACTAATGATAACTGCATTGAACTATAAAACTTGTTTTCGATAACATAAGTAAATGGGGATAAGTAAAACTAATAAATGACCTTTTTATTATTTTTTTCTTTTCAATATTTTAGTCATATTTCCCAAGTGAAAATAAACAGATTGAACAGAACCCTAATTCATCTTTATCACCTATATGGAAACGTAAATCAAATACATTACAATCGATGATCAAGGATAAAATTCAACTCATTGAAGAACAAAACTATTCAAAATCAATCCAAATAACTAAATCCAAGGAAGGTGGTTGTAGGAAACGAGAAGAAAAAGATGATGATGAAGTAGGGAGTAAAGGAAAACATTTAATTAATAAAGTTCAATATGAAAATACTACTACTACTTCGACTACTACCAAGAATGATAATAATCATGACAGAGTGCACAATTCCTGTCTACTTTTAGATGATTCAATTAAACAACAAGATGTTTGTACAGCATGTACACTAAATTGGCAATTTTATTTATCCCAACCTTGTTGTTATACATTTATAGATGATATGGTTAAATTTTATCATGATGTGAATAATTCTTGGTATTTTGTGAAACATGATTGTTTTCTAAATTCTATTATTCAATTGTTTAAACCTGATAGTTGTTTCAGTTGTCGTAAATATATTTATGCAGTAGGTGTAAATTTATTTAATAGGTAAGTTCATAGTAATGATAATTTGGTGCAAACTCATTAACAGGCTGTGTTCTAATAATTTTATTTTCAATCTAGATGGAAACAAAATTCTGAATTTGTCAATGATTGTAGAGACATAGAAAAACACTTTTGATTTGGATGTGCAGTTGATTAGCATTCATTAGAATTCTGAACCTTCTATTTCATTAATCATATCGATATTATTATTAGTAAGGATTCGAATTAGCCTTCAGCTGATATGGAAGACTGAAATTTGATCAGTCTTTGTGAACATATGCTCATGCTGCGCGGATTACCTCAATAGAACCATTTTGTTACAAGTTTAACAGAATAGATAGATTTTGGTTAGAAGTAAAATCCAGGACGCGCGTTTTGTCTCCTTTGTAACTCATCTCAATGTTGATATTCACACTGGAACTCTAACTCATGAACTTACGTTTCAGATATCAACACGTTATCCCCTGAGGTATTAAGTACAGATAGTTACTAACCTGCTCATCGGGCATAACGTCATTTTTAGTAAAAATTTGAGTATTTCGTGGTTGATATATAGCATTGAAATCTGATCAGTCTCCTAATAGGATTTGCCTATACCAACAAATATATCAGCACTAAAATGCAGGTATATCTGACTAGCGAACCCTGAATAGGACAAATCATGCTTCTTAGACTTCCATTCTGGTCACACTTCATCTATTCTGTAAAACATATATCATATTACTATTTCATTTAATCGATTGGTAAGCAGTAATGGTGCGGTTTTCTCCGCAAATGTGTTTTCCATAAGGATGAATAGATGCTTGATTGTGTATAAAAATATAATTCATTAGTAATCCATCAGAACGTGTAGTAAAGGAAATGGCTGGTGTAATTTACTTATTTGCATCCATATGATAAACCATCATATTTTTGAAATAATTTTGTGAAAATCTTTCATATCGTTTTCGTTACCATTACTGTCGTGAACATATCATTCAACTTAATGAAAAAATAAGCTGTTTGAAAATTTCTCTAAAACTTATATCTACTTTGCACTGATATATGATTATACGCCTCGTTTACAATAATATGCACTTGAGTTGCTGTGAACTTCTGTAGTTCAAATAAAATTTAAAACAGCAGACTTTACTTACCAAGTAATGACTAACTCGTTTAACTCATTGAAGGTTGATCATCTACTCTTAAGTATAACAAGTTTAAAAATCAGTTATCTAGTAATTAAAATCCAAGTGATTTAAACGCTGTTTCTGTTTCATAGTTCCTTCACCAAATTATTTTCTGACTATTTAAGCCCTTCATTGATTGGTTGGATCGGTGTTAAACTGTTTTACTGGTCTCTGATAAATATTTGACTACTCTAGAAACCTTCTAGTGTAAGATTATAGTATTTTTTCCACTCATATCTGCGTAAGAGGTCGTGCCAAAAAGCATAGATTATGTGTCTGCAAGGAGAGGTGTTAACTTTGATAGACGTATTACTTATGGGTTTTTGTTATGATCTCTTTCGACGTACGTAATATGAACTTAGGCTATTTTGTTTTTTGACTGACTTCAACCTTAACTTTTCTACAGTCTTGATCGTTACTTATTCATTTATACTTCACAAATGTAGTTGTGTTAATGCTTGGTTGAAAACAATGAATTAAGTGGTGAAATTATAATGTTTCTTGTTCTAAATTTAGAGAGTCCTTTCCAAACTGCTTCACAGATTAATTTCACGTTACATATATATGTTATTTCTTTCTGTAGAAATCCATTGAGAGGTCTAAAATATTTGGCAAGACATAATTTCTTAAACTTATCTTCTAGTAAACAAATTTCCAAATTTATTCAAAATAATGCTGACTTATGTCGTTCAAAAATTGGAGCATTTCTTGGTCTGCCTCCTACAGATGAGATCAACCCAACGGAAGTTACAATGTAAGTTCTTCAAATTTTGGTGTCAAGTTTTTATTGTAATCAAGCATTATAAGATCTAGTGATTAAATAATTCAATCAAAAATTAGCACTTCATTAGCAACTCTTATTTACCGATAAATTCTTGGTCAGTTTTATTCAAGAAAATTTAATTAGAATGACCTTGACTAATCAGCTTAAGTACTAAAAGTTAAAAACTAGTAAGGGAGAATGCATTTGTAGTGTTATACTAAATAGGGTATTTTGTCAGCATTGCATATAATGGCTGTAGTTCAATTATCGTAAGCTATAATTGAAGTGACATGGCTGGTACTGTACTGGCACTTACTATTTAACTTCCTTTAAATATTGAGTCTTAAAATTATGTTTTACTTTTTTTCTCATGAATCCGTTCTTTCTTCTCGATTCATAGAATCTATACTTAGACTCTTCTACTACTATTGATGCTGTTACTACTTACAACACTAATATTTTTCTCGATCCATTCATCCGACTATGCTGATATGTTATATATATATATATATATATATATATATATATATATATATATATATATATATATATATATACCTGATTCCACGTTGCTTATGACCGACTGATTGATTAAATACATCAACATTGTATCATTATTATTAGCCTTTTATTTTATTTCTCGAATGCCAAACAAGCGATCGAATTCGTATCCCCCATTAGTTGATACTTTTTGAAGTAAATTTGTAGAACTGGTTTTATAAGTCTCCTGAACTCTTGATAATTTTATTGATTTTTGGCGTTAGATTGAAATCGGGTAGCTAAACTGTAGCTTAGGTAGACAGTGTTTCGACAAAACGAAACTAGATCTAACTGATAGGTTTATCACGTAATTGTAATGAACTTAACTGCGTAATAAATAACCTATTTACCAGGCATTAACACAACTATGATCAATAGCTTATAGGACCTTTGGAAGTTGACATCTTTCATCCTCGAGTAATTTTATAAAAAATCGTCTCAAATTTTAAAAATACTTCTGAATTCTTTTGAAATTATCTACTATGCGGATGTGTGTCAGTTGAAATTGTCACCTAGGGTCAGTCATTTCCCCCTCTGTCCTCTAACATTATTTTGAAAACATCGGTAAAGATGTATAGTAATGATTCACGTTTGCTACTCTGGATTCATAAAAGTCGTTTGCCTTTCGCCAACTTACGTCACCTATGGCGAAGGCGAGATATCTGCCTATTAATTAAGGGACGAGTATAATGCACAGTAGTTCGTTGTTCTACTTTATGGCTGTGAAACGTAGCCATTAAGAGTAGAATATACTCGTAATCTTCTAGTATTTGACTACAGATGCCTTATAAATATTGCTCGCAACTGTAGGGATCGCCGGGTAAGTAATAGTGAGGCTAGACGCAGAGTATTAAGGGACGAAGGTAAATCAGCTGATCAGGTTGTGAAGTTACATCAACTGAGATGTTTGTGCCAGGTCATAGAAATTCACCTTGACCATGAATAATTTGACATTGACATTTTTAGACTTATTATGATTTTGATTGTACTAAAAATATTCTGCATTGTTTCCTTTGTACTTTTTAAACTTGTGTTAATTTATTTCGGCTGTTTGTTTACTCTGAAGAAGTGGCTTACATTAAATCACGAAATGTCAGAAATACAATTCTTCTACTCATTGAGATATAACAAAAAATATATTTATTATTAAAATAAAATTGATTTTATTGTAATTAAAATTAAAGTCAAGATAAATTTAAAGCAATTAGTCCCTTTGATAAATTTCGATAATGTAATATATATGTGTATATTCTGAAAATAATTATAAAATAAGGACCAGTTTACTTGTATGATTCGAGAGGGAATAAAAATATTTTTTAAAATAAGTGCACTGTTAATAAAGTTTTATGATTATTAAACTTTGAATTGTAGACTGGCCATAGCATTGTTATCAGAGTATACACCGCAATAGTCATTAGTTTTATGAGTACGGGGTAGTTATCTTAGTAGGTAATGTAAGAATATATTTGCAATAAGAAAGTGATAAATGTTGTATAGGACTCAGAATTTATTAAGTATTTTCTTAAAGACAGGGGTATAATGTTTGTTAAGTTACATGTTAGTATCATCAAAATGTAACAGGCAAATTTTTATGCACCTCAGTTTAACAGATTATCCTTTTCTCAATCCATCCACTTGTATTGTTGTATCATGAAATGATATTTAACACTTACACTTATAATCCACTTGAAACTTTTTAGTTAAACAAACATCTGTTAATATTTACAATTTATTACCCTTCATGTCCAAAAATAAGGTGTTTATAGTATACTCAATCTTGTTCGAATATAATTTATTTAACTTTTAAGTACTGACTTCAATATGTTATAATTATTGACCGTAAGTAACGATGTGTTATAATGTTCATTTATCAGCATTTACTACCCTTGGAATATAAACTTTACTGTACAATCTAATAATGATTAATTAAAGGCACTCAAAAAACATATTATTTAATCGAAACTTCTGATTTATTATCACTAATCTGTAAACAACAATTACAGTTTCGATAAAATCGCCGTTATATTACTAAAAAGGAAAGTATTAAATTAAACTATTCATCTGACCGTCTGATTTGGTTCATTGCTTCTATTAAGCTTTATAAATTACTCAAAATTTTACGTTTTATCAACGCCATTCGTTCTCCCAGGGCTTCGGTCGTCATCCACACCATTCGTTTGAAATCAGAGCTTAGCAACCTCGTCAAAGGGACTTTTCGTATCTATCAACCTGCTTCAAGTGCCAGGTGTCGTCTCATTTTTATAAACAACATGACACGTAAATACATTAAATAAGACTTCCATTGCAAAAGCTATGAGTATATGGCTGTACAAGAGTATTTCAAGAGGGATAGCGGACTTTCTCTACTCTTAGCCGTGCCATGACATTTGTAAGCTTATTCCATGTATGGACTCTTTTAATTAGTCGATTTAATCAACTATTGATTGTTTTATCATTTTCACCCTTAGGTTATTTAATTTTAATCATAAAATTCTCTACGCTTATTCCTCTTTGTTCTCTTTCTCATTTTCTAAAGCAGAAAGTATCTTGTTGACCTTCATAAATATATATATATATATATATATATATATATATATATATATACTGTAGAATGAATAGAAGGCTAGGGGTTGGTCGGACTACTAGTTGGGTTTTCTTTGTTGTTGAAAAGATAACGTTTAATGTTGGCGACTGTTTCTCTTTTCTTTTGATTTTATCCTTCATTTACCTCTAAAATAATAGTAACGTTTAAGTCAGTTTAAACTGAGTTGAATATATATATATATATATATATATATATATATATATATATATATAACAGAAATTATACAATTTTAAAGACACTACCAACCCAACTAATTAATTTTATAGGTAAGAAAAACAAAGAGTATTACACTAATATCCATTGACTATCTTATTTTACCCCATTTTGATCGTTTGTTTATTACTCATAGTCAAATCGTTACCTTTCAATTTCTAATGGTTGTGTTGCACTGAATGATTTTGTTGTTTTTGATGTATGGAACATTTTTATTTCTACTTCTTGCTTTTATAAAGGGACTTCTTCAATTTCGAGCATCATGTAAGGTTGTTATACAATGAAAATACGTAAATCCTGTGTACCTTTTTCTAGGATTGTATTTAATGATCCCTTAATTGTTGTCTTTTAGATTGTTCTTCCTTTTCTGTAATTGTGGGAGGAAAATCGCATTTAACCTCATCACTATTTTCATCTAAGTAATTTCAACAAATCCAAATATCAAAAAAATTTTGTCTGTTGGTATATAAAGAATATTAGCTGAGTTCTTTATTTCTGTTGCATTCACTTCAGGTTTGTTTGTAAATAAATGAAATAATGAATAATCTTAGAACAGTAAAACGAAAACAAATGGTTTTTGAAGTGATTTTTATTCATATGTAATATAACCAGCTTTTACATAGGCAGTTTGTACATGAAAACCCGTTTAAAGGAACCGTGATATGCCAAATAATTTGATTATTACAACTTGACCAATGCGAATTAGTTCAGGTAATTTGGTAATTGAAATTTTAATAAATAGTCAGTGTTATTATCTAGTCCCAAGACTGAATTTATACTGCTAGTGATATCAGTGTTGTTATCGGGATATAGATGGGATTAAGGCATGTTCCGTGAAGGATTGTGTTAGAGTACGTTGATTCAGTCAGCTGCAACGTAGAACCTGGCATATTTATGCATCGATCCATGTTTCCATACCTCATTAGCACAACACGATGAACAACAAATTCATAGAAGTAGTTACTTCCATAATAGTAAAAAAACATTATATATATATATATATGATTCAGAGAGAAAGTTAGTTCGTAGAAATAAAGATACAAAGTAATTTTAATCTCATGGTTTAGGGGAAAACAAAGAATTTGTACACCTACGCCATGTGATCGATCCTAAGCCATGTCACCTAGAGTCTCCAACCATTGGTTAAGATAGTCGCACAGACCTCAATCAAGTAATCTGCATCTACCAATATGGCTCAGACTAGAAGTTAGTGAGTTTATGGACTGGACACGCTGATTGGCTATTTTTATCCAATCAGCGCTAGTGGATACTTGAGGAACACTCTAGAATCTTCTTATGTAAAAACCTTAAATATACTAACGTTTCTCTTATTATGATTTCTACTTCTATCCTAATTTTTTATTTGAAATATAATGGCGTTTCTGTCCAATCGCGTTTGATTTGGGGACTTCTCAAGTGAATTAGTGTCCAAGACTACTAAGCAGTGAGAGTAGCTGGGTCATAATAAGAGAAATAATAACAAATGTCCAATGTTACTTGAATGTGATCACTTATTTTATTCATTATTGTGTACTGCTTTTCAGTACCGTGAATAAATATTTTAACAATTTCATTAGTGGGAATTTCTACTTGGTAGACAAAATATCAAAGCAATTTTACTTACATAATGTTA